ACCATAGTAGTAATAATAATAATAATAATAATAATAATAATAATAATAATAATAATAATAATAATAATAATAATAATAATAATAATAATAATAATCGAAACAAAATATAAAAGTTCATACCGAATTTATGTTCGTTGATTCTCGTTTGATTTGTGCAACCTGGTATTCATTTATGTGCTATTCGTTAACCATAATGTGCACTCACAATACATACACAAAATTTAGATAAAAAATAATATTATTTTTTTCATAAAAAAAACTATATATAAAACAATTTGTAATATTTTTCATATGGTTTGGCATGGTCAGTTATTATATTTATTTAAAAAGACTAAATCCGACATTTAGCCGACTAATATTTTATTCGATCGATTAGCAGAATTACTGTATATTTTGGTACGTGCAGCTTGTTGTTTTATACGTTGCAACGTGTTGTGTTATCAAGTGACATGTATTACTGTATAAATTTTAACGTATTAATTCTGGTACGCTAACATGCTTGTGATTTTTTGTGGATAGGTGATGTTATAAAGTGCAACGTATTGACTTATAAAGTACAACATGTTAGTGCAACATTCCAATATAAAGTGCACTAGCTAACTTATACATTCCAAGATAAATCTCCCTATATATTAATTCAGAACGTGTTGAGGCTAAGTGGCAGGCTCGCATGCTTCGGGATCATACGTGTCTAACTTACATGTTCGGTATTAGGCTTGAGTAGATCGGTCCGGACTATCCATAAATATGTTGATTATTTGTGGTAATGTTTTAACATCCATATTTTATGTTTAAAAAAATTATATTTATATTTCAAGTAGTTATATGATATAAGTTATAAAAATTACTATAAAAGTAAATAAAATTCAAAATAATTTTTCTTATTATTTTTAAAATTAAGAATAATTTTTTAACAAACACCCGTGTAATACACGGAATTTGTACTAGTTATGTGTATTTGAAAACTAGTTTTAAAAATTATAATACCGAGTTGACCTAAATAATTAAAAGTTATTTTTATTTATTACTTTTGTTATAAAATTTATTTATTATTATAAAATATTATTTTATTATTATATCAAATGATTAATGATGGTCCGAATCTAATTGTTTGATATATAAGCATAATAATATATATAAAAATAATAATTTTTATTAACTTTCAATAGTTACATATTTGACATATGGACTAAACTAGGATAAAATCAAAATTTTAAAAATTGCACATAGATCCTTATAACTAATCAAATTTCCAAAAAAAAGTCCAAGACCTCTAATTCCCAACCCCAAACTCCCGTCACTGTCGAATCAGCTTGTCCTGGGCGCCGTTAAACGGATGGTCGTCCCCGGCCCTGCCACGAGCTCGCCGGCGATGGAGTTCGTTAATTTTGGTTTACTTTTGGACAACTTCTCTCGGCTCCGGCGACTGTTATGGAGGTAGGCTCCGACAACTATGGAGGAGGGCGATGACAAGTCAGTGAGTGAAGTGGTTGAGGTGTTTGGCCGGCATATGTGAAAAATCGAAATGCTTGGAAGAATTTCTACGTCTGTGAGTTGGATGATGGCGACGGATGAAGGCGTGGCGGCAGCGGATGAAGGCGACGGCGGTTCGGCTGGTGGCGGTGGCGAGGGCGGAGGCCGACGCGCTGGTGAGAGTAGAGGTCACGATTGATATGCAGCTATGAGAGAGGTTGTGGGTGGCCGCCGACGATGGTGGGTGATGACCGACGATGGCAGGATATAGCCGGAAAGGCGGGCGACTGCTGAATAAAATGTCTATGAATGTATGTGTTTGTGTGTTTTTTTTTATGTATAATACATGTGTGTGTGTTAATTGCGTGTAAGAGAGAGAGAAAGAGAGAGAGAGAGAAATGGGATAGTGTA